GGGGGGGGGGGGGGGGGGGGGCTTACCTTAGGTAAGCCTTACTACAAAACCATCTACTTACTGTATGTCTACCTACCTAGGTTAGGTATACGGAGTAGTAAGTGAGAAGTCAAGCGACTAGCATTATAGTGCCCTATTTGCTGAAAATAAAGGAACGATGACATATGTTCAATTGTTACTTCACTTCTTTATTCTAATCTGATCTAGTCTACAGTCATCCCTTTTGTCCAGCGGGGATGTCATACGGGCACGGAAGAACAAGAAGGACGAAGAGAGAGCAAGCTTCAAAGGGCAGATGCTGAGAGAACACAAACGGAGTTTCAACTCAGTCCGATTTCCGATGTGCGTTCACGTTCTTATTTTCAAGCTCAAGCTTAAGCTCAAGCCACGATAAAAAATCTCGTGGCATTGCATTGCATTGGATCCGCTGGATTGAAAAATGTGGGCCTTGTACCTCCGTACTGCACGCGTCTGCTGATCATCCTGGCAGGGGTCTTGATCTTGCAGCAACTGAAATGCGATGTTGGAGATCGATGCTTTCTTTGATTGATTTGCAGGTTTGAAGTGGAAGAAGTGAAGTGAAGTTTCGCAAGCCTCCGTACGACCGACTGTCGGTGGGCAAATAAATCCTTCAGTTACTGTACTGTAAATCTTCCACTCCTTGGTGGGGAGGGACAGGAGCACCAGAAAGAAAGGAAAGGTCTTTGTCCGGTTATTCCGATGCACCCATAATTAACTCTTTATGCCTCCGTCCCGGCACTGACTGCCCCTCTCCTCATCAAGCTAACCCGGGGCCTTGATAGGCTTTCCCTACCGCGGGAGCTTTTTCTTCAATTCCAGCCCACCGCCTCCCCTCGTATGATACGTTATGTACGGAATGATGGGCATTTCGATGGCCGCGGCTCATTCACATCCCCACGCCAGTCAGTCCGTTCAACCCGGTGATTAGAATACTGTAATAAGTAAGCACACAGCTTGCTTTGTACAACCTATGAGCGAAACCAGAAAGTCTCTTCTTCAGCCTCAAGTTCAACTGACCTACCAAATTCCCGGACATCCGAACCTCTTCCTTCTCCTTTGTTCACGAGTCACGACGCCTATTACGAAGTAACTTTCTCCATATCTCACGACGCCCGTTTGTTTTGTTTCCCTTTTCTATCTACTGATCGTGGGACTTTGCTTCACTCGACTTGACCCATTCTACGGTCATCTCTACCGTACCTCAGCACAACTTATCAGCCCTACTGCAATGCACCTGGGCGACCTCGATTTTGACTTTTCGGCCATTTCTCGAGGCCTCCTGCCCTCCGCATCTTCGTCGCACATCTTATATGGAAGGCGCCCCGGTATAACGGGGCGTCCCTTCTCGTCAAAATTGTCAAAATGCTTCTAGTTTCGACCGGAATGGCAGGACATGCTGCCCAGTTCAAGGGCGAGTCCTCACCTCGAGACTCTCCCAATTTCGAACACAATTCTATCCCAAGGCATGCCAGGCAATCTTTAATAAGATCAACATTTTCTCCTCAACTTCCTCGAAGAGCAACAACTTATGAGCCTTACACCCCCAAAGTAGCTCAACGTCCACCATATCCCCGGAGACCAGTGTCCGAATACATACCGAGAGCCCACGAACCGACTGTCCGTTTTCAAGAACCCGAGACAGACAGGATGAGTGAAGATTGCAGTAGATCTGTGGCCAACTCTGAGAGCAGCGAGACGACGGGTGGTAAAAGTCGACGCAGACGATCACTGCGACCCAGCACTGCTTTCCACCTAGCACATCCTGCACCGACTTTAACCCAGAAACAACGTTTGCTCTTAATTCGCCCAAAACTACTATTCCAGCTGCAAATGTTATCAGCAGATTCTAGGCCCCGGCCAGCTATCGATGTTCTTCCGTCTACAGTTGTTGTTCCTCGACTGGTCAAAAAATTCCCTCGGATGTTCAAAGGAAAAGGGCAATTAGGAGCAAATGATATTATGGTTGTCAAGAGCGAGGATTATGATGCACCCGACGACCAAATTGTGGAGGAGCACGAGTCGGATGGGGAAGGCCTAGCAAACAGACACTTACTCGCCGTCATTTGCCAAATGAGGAAAGAATGTGGGGGCTCTGAGGGGAAAGCCGAAATTGTCTTAAATGATGGTAGATGGGTTGCAACTCCGCTGCCAAATAATTCGTTCGACTTTGTTTCTAAGGACGAACGGGGTACTGAAACAATTGCTCGCTGGGCAAAAGTGAAAAAAGGAACTGCTCGCAAAAGCCTCGATCTATATGACGGGTTTGCGAACGACGAGGTCAAATTTACATTTAGTATTTTGGATCCTCACTCGCGTCGCCATCCGATTATTGCGACACTTACACAGGCAAAACTTGATATTCCCAATTCATATACAACATCGTCCTCGGCAAACAGACCCCCCCTTGTCCGAGGTGTCCCAGGCCAACCCATCGATAACGAACCGATCACAGAGCGAACCACACACATCGTAGATGAAAACTTGAAAACTTTGATTCAAGTGACTGCAATCTGGGTTGCATTGCGCCAAGGATGGTGTTCATATTTCAAGTATAGTGATGGCTTGGCTGCGGCGACAACCTCAACCAATGCAGCGTCTGGTGGCCGGGTGAGATCAATGTCGCTCACACCTGATGGGCTTCGACCAGGTGCTACCGTTACCCGGGCGAGTACCCCGGATTCAATGTCAGGAGGATTTGGGTCTGTTGGCAATAAAATTCGCCAGACATGTATTACAAGAGGAAGCCCGGCGAGTGGAATTTCATCTCAAATTGAGAATGCTGGCACCCCACAACGTTCCATTTCCGCCGGGACAGCTTTTATGCAGCGTGCTGCCGCTCGCAGGACAGGAAATGCTGGTATCAGCACTGTTGTGGCGAGTGATAATGAAGATGAGGCAGAGGATCATCCCAATCCACCAAGACGGGCTGCCACAGAGAAATTGTTAAGATCAGGGTCCCAGATGACAACACCGCCCCTTGCATTACCCGGTTCGTCGACCACAACCCCGGACACCCCAACGAGGCCACAACGGCGCCCTCATTCTGTCTACGTTCCAACCAGCTTGCGAAAGAATGCCTATACCAATGGCCATTCTACTAGGCATAGTATGGATGTAAACCCGAAGCAACCTCCCGAGACTATCGACGTTGCTAGGAAGCCAAAAGCTGGGAGGTGGAAGGCTTTCACGAGTCTCTTCCGGCGATTGAATCACACACATAACGACTAACCACTGCGGCTATTACCCCTAATTCTGTACCAACGATTGTTATTGGTGCTATCACTTTGGACTACATCCAGTACATATTTTTCTTGAGTCATATAAGGGGGAGTTCGGAATTGGAATACCAGGCTGGGTATTGGCGTAGAAAGAGCCTTGAGATCTGGGAGCTAAACCCTAAGGTCCTAGCTTTTGGCATTGTATATTAGCTATAGGAGTCCAAAAGCTTCTTGGTAATTATAGTCACTAGAATACTAATCTCCACGAAACATTCATTGTCCTCGTAGACCTCATGAAGCCAGCAAAGCGTCTCGTCTTCACCAGGGATCAGGATGTTACAAATCTTTGGATTGAACCCTTTCGACTTCTCTGGCTTGACCTAAATCATCTCGCCGAGAATAGGTACTCAATGTGTCGTCAGAAAGCCCTCGGATCCTACCAAGCATTCCACAAGGCAGTGGTGAGCACGTAGGGTAGGTAGTAGGGTAGGCGCACGAGGTGCGACTACAGTACCTCAAGTAACGCGACGCGTACCTTTAATTGCCTGAAATTTATGCTATTTAGAAAACCGCCACCGCATGAGGAATTTTTTTAACTCGAGGACATGTACTTAGTATTGGGTACTTGTTTGATGATGAATCAATCATAAGACGCCGTAAAATGCTGCTTCCTTGCCTGTAATATCCTTGCTCTTGCCCATTACAAATCTATCAAGCTTCGCGAACCGACAAGCTCCGTCCGTATTGATACTATACGGTACATCACAAGGCTGCGAAACTCCAATCATCCAATACCTACGCAGCTGTGTTACCTCCACGACAGTCGACTTCGCTGATCTCCGTCAATCATTCTCCCATTCACAGTTGATGATTCACAGTCGGTGTGAATAGCCCGTTCCTCTGGGTATTTATTTGGGTCTCCGTGAGCTATTGTGCAGAGCATACAGTCACTACCATCAGGTCGTGTGATAGTACGAAAATCTCCACATTCCATCTCTTGTATTCCACTGAGGTACGGGTACCCTCCTGTTATGTCATACTCCAGCTTGGGACCTTTGGAAGCTCTTGCTAACTTCATGGCGGGTTCAGGGCATCTTCGAAAGAGGCGCAAGCTGTCAGTTGGATCGACCCCTACCTCAACAGCAACACTACTCCCCCGCAGCAGCATGGACGAAGGTGGATATACGAACGGCCGCAGCCACGCACAATTCCTACAACACATACTGCAAGGCGACGGCCCAAATGATGGAATATCGCGTGCAACATCTCCGGGTCTCAGCTTTACTATCAATGGGGTCGAGTCGGAACTAGAGAAGAGGTACCGGCCTCGAACCTACCCATACTTCAAGCTCCTACCATACAATGTTGAAGAGGAAGCAGAACGAAACGCCGCTTTGGAGGAGATTTTGAAGCAGCTCTACATTGCGATAAAGGCCGAGGATATCACACCAGGCGCCGTACATTGGACCAGGGAGCTTAAGGGATGGCTGAACCTCAAGTTCGAAATCACCCGGACACTTCGGGTGAAGCTCATCAAGCTGTATTACATGCTGTCTTTTGCACCGGGTATGGATGCGACTGCAGCAGATAGATTTGAGAGCATGTTTCGCACACTTTTGAAGTAAGTCATGCGGCCGAGTCTCCTGGCAGCTAGACTAACATGAATAAAGGAGAAAACATTATCTTAAGCCTGGCGACGACCTGATACTTGACTGGCGGCCACTATGGAAAGAAATCAAATTAATGGTTCTGCCCTACGAGATAGGAGCACACCAAGGAGGTGGACGAAAACGAAGCCACAAGAACCTTGTCGCACTATGTACCTTTGCATACCAATACTTTGATCCCCGTGAAAGACAGGCTATACTAGATGAGATCGTACCATATTTCAGCACCTCAGAGGTCACTGGTGCCTTCATCGTTATGGGAACCCTGAACATGCTGATGCCCACGCACCCAGCACCATTCGAGCCCGGGCAATTACAACCCAAAGATTACCTCCCGACATATTTTCATCTGTGGTCGCTTGTAAACAGGTCGAAGTCTTTTGATATCCTGTTTTTTGACATTTTCTCGCGAATAGCAAGAGACTCGCTCACCTGCGAGCATCTCGAATTCTCAGAATATGGAATCTTCACAAGGGACCAATCAGACCTCATCTTCACGGCTTTATTAAGGTTAACAGAAATCCCTGTTGGACAAGCAAGCTCGCCCTATTGCGGGCTGATTGATCTCGGATCTGGCTTGGGTATGTATCTGGAAAAGGATAGGAAAAAGAACCCCTTGGGCTATTCTATTGCTCGATGGATTGTTATGTCGTTATCTCCTGCTGCAATCGACAAGCCTGGGTCGATACTTTCCAACCTAGAAGGCATGATGGAGTCAATTGACACATTCTTCCACCCTTCGAATCAAGGAGCATGGACAGATGTACTTTCACAGCTCGTCTTTCACTTGGTTGATTTCTTCGTTATGCGTTGGAACCGAGAAGAGAGCGGCGAAATGGATACTCCCCCAGAGCGACGAATAAATGACGAGTTGAAGAAGCGATTTGTGCTAAGTTTGAAAGAAGTTGTATTCATGGGTCTTTTTTCCAAGAAAGCCAAACCCCTGAATTACTATTTTGGCGCATTACAAGGCCTGTCATACTTGGAGCCCCATTTGATCCTGCCAGGAGCCCTACAGAGATTCTATCCTTCTCTGCAGGGTATGGTTGAGGTACATCGGTGCCAATCATCTCTTTGCGGATTGCAGATGACCGCCAATGTAATGTCTAAACACAAGGGATTACGCTGTCATATCACTGCACTTTTAGCTTTGGCATTGCCAGGTATCGATGCCAATGACTTGTCTAAAACACAGCACACTCTCAATGTCATACAAGCTGTGGCTTACAGCATCCCTTTCGTGGATCTAACTAAAGAGCACGACGACGTCCACGATACAACTCTGGCAATCCAGTGGGTTCAGGGTGAGATGGAACGCATGGAGAGAGAAGGTCCAAATGTCCAAATAGACTACAGGACAGAACTTAGCGACGAAGACGAGTTGAAGATCCTTCGCTCATCTACGGCTGGCTTTGGCGAATTCGTCAAGTCTTTACTCGGAAAGGTGTTCACTCTTTTGGAAAACCTGCCGGAAGCATCTAGAGTGCGATCAGGGTCCCCGGAAGAAGCAGTTATCAACACCTTACCTGCGGCACTCACACCTTTGTTCGCTGCCCTTTCGCCGGAGATCTTTGACATGGCATTGGAAAAAGTATCTAACTTTGTAGGGGGTCACGTGGTTCATCAAGCTCGAGATGCCATGGCATTCATTTGCAATGCTCTCTGCAAGGCCAACCCCGAGAAGACATTGAAAGTCTTCGTGCCCATGCTAATTGTCGGCATTCGTAACGAGATCGACTACAATGACGCTGCGTCAGACAGAAGCGCTGGCACCGATGTCCTACCTCGAGACCGCGCTCTCGTATGGCACATTAGCATGCTGAGCATGATCATCGTTCACGTTGGCGATAGTTTAATGCCCTATAAAAAGGAGTTATTTGATGTTGCCCTGTACATGCAGGAGAAGTGCCGAGGCATCCCAACAATTCATGTTTCGAACTATATCCACCATCTACTGCTCAACTTGACCCTCATATATCCCGTCGATGGCGCGCTGTATGAGCCTGAAGTATTCGAGAGGGGTATAAACGCAAGCGACTGGGGCAGAAGTATGAAGCCAGGTGAGTTGACTATCAACTGGCATCTACCTTCCGATGACGAAATCACCTTTGCTGTTGAACTGTTCGAAACCCAAGTCAAGACGGCAGTTGAACGGTTGACAAATCTCATCAGCGATACCCCGTCTATCAGCAGGAAAGGAAAAAACAAAGAATGGTCAGACGACGTCTCAAGAAACCTTTCTCAGCTTCGGTTGATAATCTCAGGCGTAGCTACCTTATTTGACCCGAAGAAGGCCGCTGGGCAAACCAACGAAGGACAAGACCATGAAGGTGATAGCAACATGGAGGGCGTTGAGGAGCCTACCGAGGGTGACGATCCGCTCGCCGAAGCTGCCGAGGACGAAGAAACGAGACCGCAATTTCACTATCGAGCTGGTTACCTGCTCGAAAAAGACAGTAAAACCTATCTCCACCTCCATAAACTACGCGAGGATATAGGATATCTCTTATCGAAGATCCACAACTTCCTCTCCAATCATCAAGAGGATGATGTTGCCTGCTTCACAGCTCTGTATTCGGCGTATCGGACCTGGATCACAGATGTTGGGAACGAGCGATCAGCTCACATGCTAGAGCGCGTGACGAGACTTTATGTTAGTGATGTTCGTGCGTTCAAAATCAGTGGCCTACGAAAAGAATATCCAAGGCCGCTCTTGGTCAAGCGTGCAGGAATATATCACTTCCAAAGAGCCAAGCACAATACTTCTGCCAGACATAAGTCAGATCTCGATAAAACTTTGTTGTTACAACTAGCAGATTCCGCAGTTTCCTTGTACGCTGAAGTGCGAGTTAGTGCCCAGTCTGCTTTAGAAGCCGCATTGAAGAGTCTTGTAGGGGGGCGGCCGCTCGTCATTCCTCCGTTGTTAGAGAAATTTAAACTGGCTCTGGACTCCGACGACTTTGACAGGATAAAAGGTTGTTTGTATACTTTGCTCTTCGGCACTTTGACAAGGACCATTTCAAAGGATTGGCGCTACGCCCCCCAATTGGTTGATCTTTATATTCGATCCACTTCTGTTGACAAAGCATCCATTCAGAAAGCTAGCACTTCGGCACTGTATGGCGGTCTGGCCGATTTTGGGAAGCCCCTTTCGCACTACACCGTCATTAATCAAGATTTGGTACAGTTTCTCGAACCAAAGGAGGATTTCACCTCCAGAATCGAGTCTAAGCATCGCCGCATCGTAGATCGAAGAAGCAAGGTAGAGTCAAAGAAATCTGCTCTAGCCCTGAAGCTCGTAGAGACGTCCAAGCATTCGCATTGGAAGATTGCTGGCAGATGTACCATTTTTATTCTGAATGCCGGTCTTCGGGTTCAAACGCTAGCACCGCCTTCAGTGGTTGAATTAGTGGTCTCGGGAGCTATCGACGATCACCCAGGACTTCGAAACAGCTATTCTGACTCGCTGATTCGGATATTCAACTCTATCGAAACTCGTGCCCTTTACGGACACAGCTACGAGAGATACATCAGGGAAGAGGAGATACAATTAAACAAAATCGAGGTGCCCGTGCCAAAGGATAACCCAAACTGGACTGAAGAGTTTCTCGACGGATTTGCGAAGCCAGAGGTACCCGAATACTACGTTGACCGAGACTTTCCCGGCTGGCTTGCATGGGGGAAGACTTTCAAGGCGGTCACGTCTCACCCAGTTGAATTTACAGACTTCGATGAGGTAGAAAGTGCTGCGAGGAAGCAAATTGGTGACCTCCTGACACGTGATTGGTACTCGAAGTACTTTGGTTACATGAAACAGGAGCCGCGAGATACGCACGCGGACAGGTTCCGAGTTCATAATGCTGCACTTCTAATTTCAACCTTTGATCTCACTGTCAGGGGCAAATCAGCCGCTACATTTGAAGACATCAAGGAGTTGTTGGATTTAACCTATGAGGATGGGTCTGACAAACACCAACACCGTGCGACGGCCGAAATCATTGCTGCGCTTCTTATTTCCGTAATGGAGCGGCCAATCGAGACCAGGAATAAGGTTTGGAGCTACGCTGTTCCGAAAATGCTAAATGTTTTTGAGGAAGGGATGACCCCGGAAAATATCGCCTATTGGATGACTTGTCTTCATATGGTTATCGGAGGAAAGGATCCTCGACAGTCCCGAGAAATATATGACAAGCTTGTCTCGTTCCGACTTGATATGTCATCGAATGCAGCATTTAAAGAAAGTTCCAAAGTCCAGGTACTTGAATTCGCAATTCAGGACGCTGGTTGGCACTTCCGTTTCGATAAACCTATTTTGGAAGACTTCCTTGCTCATATTGATCATCCGTACAAAGCTGTGAGAGAAGCGATTGGTCGGACCATCGCAGGACTCTATCGTACACGATACTATGAGGCTTTCAAAGATGTTACTACACTGCTGGAGGCCAACAAGGCATCTTCATCAATCGGTATCAAACCTTATACGCCAACTGAGGAATTCTCGACAACCCTCAAAGAAGTGTTCAGCAGACTCGAGGTATGGCGTAGAGAACGAACTCCTGGGCAGCAGACTCCATCGTCCTACACCTCAGGGGGGAAGACTGTATTGCTGTGGCTAGATACCACATTGCAATCCTATGAGTGCACGCAGCTCATTCCGTTCTTCCCAGATGTCTTCATGGAACAACTTCTCCATATGATGGACGTGAAGGAAGATCCAGAACTTCAGCGTCTAGCATATCAAGTGTACCGCCACCTCCCAAACATCCCTTTCCGCGCCGGCGAGGATGGAGAGTTCATCTCAGCTCTCATCCGTATTGGCAAGGTATCCACCTCATGGCATCAGCGTCTCCGTACTTTGATCAACATGCAAGTCATCTACTTCCGCCGCATCTTCCTCATCAAGCCTGCGCAACAGCAAGCACTCTTCGACGCCGTCGCAGATATGCTGGAGGACACGCAGCACGAGGTCCGAATGGGCGCTTCCACTACCTTAGCTGGCATGATCCGCTGCTCGCCCATCGCTCTCCGCGACAACATTCTCTCCTCGCTCACCACCAAGTTCACTGAGGCCCTGAGGAAGAACCCGATGCCGAAGAAGAAGACTGGTGTAAGTACGCCGATCAACAGTAATCAGCAAGTCATCCGTCGGCACGCTGCTGTCCTTGGGCTTGGTGCGCTGGTCAATGCGTTCCCATACGCGACACCGCCTCCAGAATGGATGCCGGAGATCTTGGCGATGTTGGCGAGTCGGGCGGCAAATGATGCCGGGGCGATTGGTAAGACTGTTAAGACTATCTTGGCGGACTTCAAGAAGACGAGGCAGGACACTTGGGTCACTGACCAGAAGGTTTGCTTCTGTTTCCCCACATGTCTTTTCACTAAACTAACTTGTTGCAGTATTTCACAGCGGAGCAACTAGAGGACTTGGAGGGCGTATTATGGAAATCGTACTTTGCCTAATGGGAACGGGCTACAGATGCATAGGACATGGCGTTGGCATTTTTGAGACGATATGATATGTATGCATCAGCTTGTTTTTTTTTTTTGCTTGTTTTTTTGCTTTTTTTGCGGTGTGCTGGTATGTGCATAATATGAGCAGCAGTTTTGCATTTGCTTTCCGACATAAACGAATGATTCCCTTTTTGCATCATATTATGAAGTACTCGCTATGGCTCTCCACGTGCTGTTAAGAGACTTTCTCGTGAGATAAAAGTGTCGCTGTTGTCGACTTTAGGCGCTTGGCCTTACTCTACTTACTAGCCCCTTATTATACATTCTCGTATAGTACCGCATATTGCCTTCCACTATATTTGCAGTTTCGCATGCTCTAAAAAAAACCCCCACTGCCAAAACATGCGCAAGAGCAATTGCTTGCATTCAACTACTTGCTTGCAGACACTTCCCCCAACATCCACCTTGAATCTGCGACCTGTCCCTTGGATAGATAGTACCTGAATTCTAGATGCATACATCAATCACTTCCAAGCTCCAAATCATACCCACACAAGTTTGAAGTCAATTCCAAGGCAGTGTCGCTCAATTCTCGTGCATGCATCCTATAGTAATAGCATGACCGCTTGCTTTAGCCGCAAATCACAAAACTGCTCGGGATGGCATATCGAGGAAACCAAGTTTGATTGGCTAATTGCTTCGTTTCTATTATGTTAATTGGCATTTCTGCAGATGCAGATGACTGGCCATGGCTGTGTGAAATAGCTGTGGTCGTGGTCAGTTCGGACGAGGCAAACACGGGAAAGGGGGGCGCTAGCGCCAAGAGCTACAGTACATCGTGATCGTGGTAGCACAAATTGCAGCGCAGCTCCCGTCTCAGAAAATCGGATTCTGTAATCAGTTTATTTATGAAAGCATGAAATTATATCGAGTATTCTGCTGAGATTTCAGCTCGGCATAACTATGGTCCGACTTCACGATACTGTACCCTAAGCTGTAAGATGATAAGATCTGTGTTGAAAGTCCAGTTGTTCAGGCTACTGGTATATAGTCTTGATTTCTAACATAGGGAGGGCTTCTTGGTTTTCGTGTGTGCCCTCGAGGATAAAGCTCGACCATTCGCACATATTTCACCCTCTGCGTACGTACCCGGTGACCTTGTTGGTGATCTTTCAAATGGGATAGAAATTTGGAGAGGCAGAGGCGTATAATTGTAAAAGAAGCTCCTGACTATCATACGATCGTAGTCTTTTCCAGGACCATGTCTCCTGAGATCTTCCCCGAAACTATTTTATCTTGTTGTGCAATCGGCCGAGCAATTAGCCCGTAAGATCTAGACTTCCCAGGAGGTTACACGAACGGCTTGTGGCGCGCAAGTGAAGCTTGAAGCAATGCTCAACTTGTGTATGCTACTTAGACAAATGGTACGGAAGTATGAAGAACGATACAGAGTGGACATGCATGAACTACCTGCCACGAACCAACAACACGCATAAACAAAAGTGTTGCCCTCTTCAACACATAGCGTTTCAACATCATCCCTCATCCAGAGATAGGGAAGGTGTATAGTCCGTAGCCTATCGACAGCATATAGTAGCGAGAAATGACAAACCATAAGGGTTTCAACGCTTTTTGGATAGTGTTTCATGAAGCATGACTTTGCGTAGACTCTACTGCAGAAATGCATATAAGTTCCCTCCTTGCTTGCGGTGTAAGCCAAGTGGCTTTTGCCCTCCGAAATATTGAATATGTATAAGTTCAAATAAGCAAAAGATTCCAACAGACAAAACCATACCTGCATTGGCGCAAACACATGCACATACATTGCCGGGGTGCCTTCATCGAGGAGGATAAGACCCAAGGGGCCAATACTTTTGTTCATTAATGCGAAAGAAGCCCAATGATGGGCGTCTTTTTTTGGTATCTTTTTTCGTCCTTTTTGATACCTTTTACGTTTTATTTTCCATATGCTACGATGATATGATCACCTCTCTTCCATTCTTTCTCTGTGTTATCCCCGCTCTTGCTATGTATTATGTATTGTGCTGTTGTGCCACAGTTGTGGTACCATATCGTATTCATTGTCGAAGAGGAGTTGAAGGCGCGGACAAAACAGTTGGATCTTTCTGGTTTGTTTCTCAGGCAGTGACTTTGAAAGTGTGGTTTCGTGGCCTTATGTCTTCGAGGTTTTGATATTGACGACTTGGTCTGGTGATCAGAGGTTGCGAGAGACTTTGCGACGGGGTGCGAGAGGAGGGGGGTTCGTTGGGAGGAGTTCTGAGGAAGCTATTGGCATGTATCCGCAATTCGATTTTTTTTTTTTTGGAATAAGTGGCGTAGAGAGTGACTAGGCTATTGGTTTGTGGTGAGAACGACAATGGTGGATGAAAAGGGTGGAAGAGGAAGAGGAAGAGGAACAGAGGAATGGTTTCGTTGCGGTTCAGATATCACTCTGGCGGCGGATATAAGGAAAAGTAAAGGCAGATATGCTTTCCCCCAAGCTTCGACACCTGAACCAGAACTTCCGAAGCTACCCTTAATGATTTTGGAGAATTTGTGTTAACGGCTGGCGTAGGAGGCGAGGTATCGTCTGATGATTCAAAATTTCATGGGAGGCAATCACTTGAAGTATTGCTTCAAGTCAAAACACAGAAGCAAATGCAAATGCTCTATATGTACTGGCCGTTGGATTCACTTCTGTCAATTGAGACATTTTCCAAGTCCCCAGAGGAAATGACTGCGTTGCCACCAACCAGGCACACTGCTGCATTTCAACGACCAGCGTGCCGAATTTACAATTTCTTGGACGCGAGCGAGCCATTTGTCTCCACCCCTGTTGGATTCCCACCAATATAATACTCAATTCTTGGTTATTATACCTCCATTATATCTTGTTAGATGCAATTTTGTGTGGAGAGCTTCCAGGGTACTTACTTCACTTCACATCACTGGTCAGACACGTTGTTCTGCTGAAAAGGAGGTGTGGACCAGATACCTGCCGCCGTCCAGAATGGCCAGTTGGGTTTGAGGCATTCAGTGTCTTGAACATAGTTGCTCAGTCTAAACGCATTATCTTATGTAGAAGTTCTACTATGGTCTTTTCTGATTTTCGGGGGAACACCGAGCGCATAGCATTGAGCTAACCCCTATTATCACCCCAAAAGATTCAGATAAGCTGTACGGTTGAGGTATTACAGTCAAAGCGCTTGATTATATGTAGAGTAATATCTTTTCGTACGTCCACGTGGGCGACTTGGCAGGGGAATCTAGATAACGTGTTTGGATGATTTCACACTATATGAATATCACTACTGAGATATACGTTTCATTGCGGGAATGTACCTGACTCTGGGCTCTGGTATTTAGAAGAGGGCTTTTAGAAAGGCATTGAACCATTTTCAGACGAATCGAGGAGCAAATAGAACCAGGATGGAGATTCTGTTTGGCCCAGCGTATGGTCTGTTTTCAACCAATCGCTGGTGGGAAAGAGCCAGGAGTCCTGCCCATGATTCCACCGCCACTGGCCGTTGACTCATCCAGAAGAAAGAATTCCAGGCCACCTTCTCTGGTGGCAATGGCCTTTCTTACCAGGCTCCAGTAAGCCAGCAGTCTTTTCGGGCTAACTCTGCCAAGTTCAGAAAATACATTGTTATTTCCCCCCCGTTTTCTCCTCTTGTAATATGAGAGCAAGGACTAGAATGGAGATATGAGTATGAGATCCCTCTTCTCGAGTGATGGGAGCCAAGAACTTGTCAAATGCAGATGCTCAATATAAGAATCATATGACTTGCCTTGCAGACGCACCAAAGAGGCACACCGATTTCGTCCACCCCGGGGAACCACAGAAATACCCGCTTTCATGCCATTGAAGCATCGAACGGTACTCTGTGCAGTATCTTCATTTACATCCCTGATGGATAGTCCGCACTCAGTCCTAAAGAAGAAACGGCTAGTAGTAAAATGAAGCGCCGAAAAGGACCTATTGAAATAACACTCCAGCGAACGCATATGGCGCCCATGATTTAATTCTGATGCCCATACAGACTTTGTATGATTTCCCGTTTTGTAAATAATTTGTCGGGATTCTTACTCGCTGCTACTGTGAGTAGTATGGACGCGGCTCACTGCGTGATGATGAGAGAGCATCGATACAGTTCCCTCTTATATAATTATCGCATGCATAATTCATGCGATATAGGGTATATTTGGACGCACAGTAGAGGAAGATATGGGGGTATAAGATCTACCTGGATCGCTGCGAGAAAGCAAGCAAATTCGGTTCGCAACGAACATCGTCGATGACTAGGTTCGTGATACAATGCCTGCCTCGCCAGTCGGAAATTAAATACAGTGCCAGTGCTTTCGGAAAAGGCAACCCGGAACACGAAGCGGCGCTTACAGAACGGCGTACTGTATGCGTGTTGTTCATCCACACGTACCATGTAAGATTACTTAGATTAGTAGGCTTACAGTAGGAATGCGCGATGAGATGACGGAGATAAATCTTCCACCGCCGTTTTGGAGTCGCTAGAGCACCGAGCATCAATCGTTCCATGGTGCTCTTGCTAAATGAAGGGCCCCTTGTCGAAATCCAGGGCACGGCCGCCTGTCCTTTGACCTCTGAGAGATCATGGCGGCAACAAGTTTTGCGGGGGGCCTGTCAGTGCATGGCGCGCTTAGCTACATAGCACTTTCGGTTTGTTGACATGTACGGAATACGTCTTGAAATAGGGCAATAGAATCGTTCATACTGTACCCGCCTAGCGATTATATGAGACTTACGAACGGCAGAGGACAGATTTGAAGAATTGGAGAGCTACTATTGTGAAGTTCCCTTAGAAATAAGCTCGTAATCATCACCTGATCCCGGAAATTTATAGTAGCTCATATACCTTTCAGCCCGCCACGCCAAATGCGATATAGTCCAAGGGGGTTACGGGATCGTGCGGCCCTTTCCGTGTCATCCCCGGGTCACTTTGCATTCAAGTCAGCATCGTCATCAAGGAATC